GCTGAGCTGCCAACAGGTGGCAGGATGGCTCAGCTAAAAAAAAAAAAAAAAGTTTGGTGAGAAAAAGTATGAATATTTTTATTAATTCAATAGATATTTACTGTATGACTATTGTGTGCCATGAGTGAGTACTTTGACAGAAAGCAACAAGGCTGAAATACTACACTGGAGTTAGAGAAAGCTCTCTGAAGAGGTAGCATTTCAGCCAAGACAGAAGGGAGAATGGGGAGAGATTGAGGAAGGGGACATGTCTGATTATAATGAGCCATAGTAATGAGTTCTGATTTTATGATAAGAGCAAGAAGAAAGATTGATGGGCTTGGGGATGGTGTGTGTGTGTGTGTGTGTGTGTGTGTGTGTGTGTGTGATGAGCTGCTTTCCTTTTGTAGGTTGTAATTTTGTACTTGGAATGCAGCATGATTCTCAGCTCGATTTAATTCCTTCTGTGCTATAACAATTAGTTGAATATGCAAACCTGCGTTCTCCTTTTGCAAATTTTTTTCCTTCTGTGTCTTAAGATAACGTTGCTATCTTAGCTTCCAGTCTCTTAAGTACAGCTCTTAGTCCTCCTGGCCCTCTAAGAAACTCCAACTTCTAGCTCTAGGCCTCGTGTTCTACATGAGCAGCTTCAGGCTACAGTCTCTGTGGCCTTATCTGGCTCATTACATTTGGTCTTACTCCACTAACTGTGGGGAGAAAAACTCCTGCAGAAAACCCCACTAGAAAGACTCTTCTAGGAGAAGGAAGATTCCTCTATTTTTTCCTGCTTTTCTTTTAAAAACTTCTTCCATCTCTCATAATTGAAGGGGTTAAACCATTCCTAATATAGACCACTAATGTCCTTTCAGAAATATCTTTCTAGCATTTAAAAAGAAATCATTCAACCATTACTATTACCTTCTAAATGTCAGGCATTGGGCATGGCATTAGGATATAGCAATGAATAAAATTCAGACCTCATCCTTTTGAAGCTGTCCCTCTACAGGGCATTATAATAAATAAAAATGAGTGTAATCAGTGACATGAAGTTTTGTGAAAAAGGATAATTTTGGGAATACTAAATAGGATGGCTAGGGTAGTCCAGGCTTGAAGAGGTTTTAGCCACCTTACCATGTCACTCCTGAATTATAGTCTAAGTAAAAACGACTTGCCAGGCAAAAGTACTTTAAGTTCCCCAGCTTACCTCCCTTTTCTTCCAAGTTCCCTCCTAAATATAAATTCTGGCACTTGCAGTGCTGTGAGGAGAACTTTAAGGTAACACCTAAGATAGTGTAGGGCTAACCAGGTGTAGAGGAAAGAGGAACCTTCCATGCTGAGCGGTGAGTAGGCCCAAGACCTTGAGATGGAACAGAGGTTGCCTGACTTGATAGAGGAGCTAACAAAAAGCTTTCTGTGTTTCCTGCTTAACGCAGCACTTAGATTCTGTGGACAGCAGAGAGATTTTAAATATAGGAACATCAGGAATGCAAATTGTTGCTTATGCATAGATTTCTTGTAAAAAGTCAAACATTAAGGAGGGACTTGGAGACCATTGTGGCTAAGCATCAAATTTATTGAAGTGTTAATTATGATAATCAGAATGTGAAGACTTAAAGAGGGATTGCCTCTTTTTATAGGCTATCAAGAAGTGGGATACCTATGGAAATTGCTGTGGATCATTGTGTCGGTGTTATAGCAACCATTGACTGTTGCTGAAAGCTCAAAGGGCACTGACAACAATGGGGTCTTCTAAGGACAACATATGGGGAGAGGACATGGGAACTTGATTGGGTTTTGCCATGACATTTTACTGGAGGAGGCTATTGGTCATCACTCTACATGTCTTTTACTCCCCTTTGTAAGTGTGCAGGCCATCATAAAGCAGGTTGATCTAAGGGACTTTTGGGAAGAAATTAAAATGATTTTCAAAATTGTTGGTATACACATTACTATGTGCTTTTTTGCCCTAAGAGATGCTCATACTCTTGATGTTTAGCTTTCATCAGATTTTCATAGGACCACAAGATTCAAAAGAAAAGACTATAATTTTCTGGTATTTTTCTGGTTTCTATAGTTATTCACTTTTATGTCCCTAACAATCCATATTTCAATTACAAGATATACTCATATCTGTTGGCAGTTAGTTGCCCTGGTCCTTCTGTTTCTCTTTAGTTACTCTTCTACTTATCGTGAATAAAGTATTTCTCATGGCTGAGTAGCCTCTGCCCAGTGTCCCACTGCCACCACCATGCTTCATGTATGCACAACACCGGCATGCTCCAATGACTTTATTCTAGGCATATTTAAGTGCATGTCTTACCTTGGTAAACTTCAAATTTTTGAAAGCACTTTCACTTTTCTCTTATTTGAGCTTCATAATAATGCTGTTAAGTAGGTAGGGAAAGGCATTATCACACCCAGTTCTGCAGTAAAGATGGGCCTAGAGGCAAAGTCTAATGAATTCTGCTTCTAGGTTTCCTTTCTCCTCAAGTGGAGGATGTAGGTTTGGTTCAGGATGAAGTTTGCGGGCAGGGAGAAAGATGAGATGGTGGGTGTTTTTCTTCTGAAGGTAGGAGGGAGCTCATTAAGGAATAAGTGGTAGGGCCTTACTTTTTTTCTGAGCAGAATGCAGTAATGAAACCAAGTTTTAATATGATGTTTGCTGGTTTGAGATTAAGTCCTAATCATTGATGGAATAACCAAAATATACTGTTTATATTTAGACTTTTTCTGCTGCTGCGCCACCCTAGGCCACCTTAATCTTGTTCCTCTTTTAGCTCCTATGAGTCCAGTGGCCTCACTGTGCCACACCATCCCCACCAGGGAGCTCCCTCCTGAGGGCGTGTGGTCTGATGCACACTGCACTGGTTCTACTGGCTTCATTTCTCGGGGATCATTCCCACTGTATGAATGGAGAAACAGAATCAGTGGGAGGACCTACCTAAAGTGGTTTCGCTGCCTCCTAGTCTTATCTTCCTTCTCCTAGACCAGTGCTATTCACAGTGTGGCCTACTGGCCAGCTTTAGAGCCAGTCCATTGTCAATCCCCAAGTTTGTGTACATGCTGATAGGTATTTCTGCCATGATTTGCATAGAAAACAATGACAGACAGAAGGAACTCTCCCAGCCTCTTCATTTTACAAATGAGAACTCTGATGCCCAGACTTTCAAGCTAGTAGCAGAACCAAAATTGGAACCAAAGTCCACTAAGATATCGAATAGTAATCTAATACCATTTATAGCTCTAGATTCACTCATGAGTCAGTACTGATAAGCTTGTCATGGCTATTGACTGAACACTGGCGTTACCATTCTGGCTAGCCTGAGGGTTTGATTGCTTTCCCTACGGGGTCGCGTTGGAGCTTTCACTCTTCACCACTTGGGGGCCCGTAGATGCTTCACCAGGTTCTTTTTTAAGTCCCCCACTCTTCCCGTCCCCAGCGTCCGAAGTACTGCAGAATTCCCGGCAGGAGGCGCTGTGAACCCCTGGTTTCTCGGCCCCTCCCTTGGCCAACCGTCGATTGGGCCGGCGCGTGACGTCACGCCGTTTTAGCCAAACAAATGGGTTTCGTAGGGAGCGTTGGGCTCCGCCGCGCCGCGCTGGGCGCTCGGTCCGCCTCAGCGGTGGGGAGCAAGCCAGGCCTCCTGCTGCAGCTGCCGCCGCTGCATCGGGGTGTGCAGCCCCGGGCCAGGCCCCGGCCGGGGCAGGAGCGCAGGTGGGTCGGGGCCGCGTGGCGTGGCGCGAGGACAGCACGGTCGGGGTTCGGCGGCGGCCACCGTGGCCGTTCCCCGCCCCCCTCCCGCCGCTTGCCTGCGCTCCCGGGACGCGGGGCGGGTGGGGGCAGGGGCGCCGCCCGTGGGTCCTGGGCGCGCGGCGCTGCCGGCGCATCTGGGGCAGGGACCCGGCGGCCCGCACCTCCGCCCGGGCCGGCCTCCCCCCGCGCACTGGCCACGCGCTGAGCGCCCCCGCGGGCCCTAGAGGGTCTGGCGGGCGGACGGGAGCGGGGTCCTCGGTCCGGGCTGAAGCCTAGGAGATCACGGATAGGCCGTGAGGAGGCACCGGACCGGCTCTCTCACCTCCGGGACCAGCGGCAGTGAGGAAGTCGGGCCTTGGGTGGGAGTCACCTCGCACGGTCGCGCCCGCTTCAGCTCGGCCGCTGCCCTTCCCTGTCCCAGCGCAGGTGAGCTGGCGCCTGCCCTTAACCCTTATCGGGACCTGGCAGGACGGAGGCTTGGAAGCTTCTTTCGTGTCTGGGCGGACGCAAGTCGACTGCGGGTCGGCCCCAGTTCTCGATGAAGTCATAGTGCTGTGGGCCCTCGTGTTAGTGACGTCAGGGGTTTCCAGGAGATGGACTGTGATGTCACTGCGGCGGGGCCCTTGGCGCGCAAGGGCCGGGAGGACCCGGAGGGGAGAAAAAGGAAGTTCAGTCTCCTATCGACTTCTGGAATCGCCGCGGAATTTGAATAGAAAATTGTTCGATGTCAGCATTTTACAATTTTAATGTAATAGTTGTCTAGTTCTTTAACTTCATATCAAACAAGCATTGTTAGTACAGTTCAATATAAGACCCAAGCCACATTTGATTCAGAAACACCTAAATCGGGAAGGTTTTTTTGGTGGGTGGTGGAGTCGGGTGTTAATGTGAATGCCTTTCAGGAAGCTCAACTCCTAGTGTGACGGTTTATGATCGGAATAGCCAACAAAATAGGACCAATTTGAGTGCTGGTAATTCAGTTGCTTTCCTCTTTTTTGCTAGACAGTTTTGACATCAACTATCTGCTCATTCACATTTTTGTTAGAAAATGGCCTGGAAGAGGGAGAGCGTATCTCGAACTTTTTCTATTGTAAAGGGCGGGAGGTGTTTGAATTAATCCAGTATTATTCTTAAATAATAATTACCTGAGGATTTAATTTATCCGGAGTCTCCCTGTCCCATGCTACCATGGATAATTGAGGGTTTCCTATGGCTATAGCTCAGCAACAAGCCTTTTTCTTGCTTTCTTACTAAGGCTGGGCCATAACAATATAATAACATCCCAGGACTGCTTGTCTGGACTTGCAACTAAAATTTTGTCTGTAGTGCTTTCAAATATGAAACTACAGAATTTTTAAAAAGTTCCTTGTCTGTGAATATTGTTTTTCTTCCAAAGCTTTCAAAAGAGATCAGGCTGGAAGAGAAGTTAATCGCTTGCCATTACTGACTCTCCAGCTATTCCAGCTTGTGAATACTTTGATCATGTCTTCTTCTCTATAGAATCGTGATAATATCTAGTTTGAAAGGTAGATGGCTTAACATTGAAGCGTAATTACAGTTTCGTGTCTTCAGCAGGAAGCTTGGATAGGAGTCCTCAGTCCTCCTTCACTGACCTTGACTTACAAGGTAGGTTTCTTGGTTGTGATTAATATTTCCTCCTTGGCTTCGGTTTGCTCTTTATAGGTGATTGATAATGTATTGTCTCTCTGGATTTTGCATCAACATGCAGGTGGAAATTATGCTGTGCCCATTAACACGGGAAATGAAAGCAAAAATTACCCTCATTAATTAGTATTAGATTTCACTGGAAGTTCACAAAACAAGGCTTTCCTGTAAATCTCATTTTGATCCTTACCATACCTTGGAAATTTGACAGCATTGTGTGTACTACTGAGAGTTGCTCTTTTTTTTTTTTTCTTTTAAGAAATTGGAAATTGTATGGTGACAATGTTGAGTGAAGGTTTTAAAGAAAAATTTAAGCCTTTGGATCCTCAAGACTGATAGGTACTGACTTAACATGAAACTGCTGATATTAAGGATGTTAATCAGCCTACTATTTAAGAGGAAAGGATCATGGCAAGGTAATATGTGATGCAGTTGAAGGAGGTACGAAAGGACCCTGGGATGTGTCTTTTTGGAGGGCCTGTCTGAGGCAGGCTACATGGCTCTGTAAATTAAGTGTACTAGTGTAAATGGGAAGGGATCAAAGTCAAACTGAATGTGAGTCGAAAGACATATAAATGATGATAATAAAATAGCTCCTCGTTGGCAGTGCATTTTCCCATCTCTATTTTGTTAGGGGCTATGAAACTTTTATTTTTCCTAATGGAAAATGAGTTAATAGAGAATAAATGTCTTAGGTGTATTCTGATGTGACTGAGGAACGTCCAGCTTATTTATATAGTTGCATAACTATTTAACATGCCATAACTCTTCTGAAACATTTTTACAGTTTGTTTCTACTTTCTTGGCAGGATGTTTTTCACCCAGACCTTGCAGTTTTGGGTGTAGGAAGCAGCTTTTACTTTTTATAAGTGGAAATTTATTTGTGATCGGGTTTATTATTATTTTAAAGTATTTTGTTATTTTATCCAGTTACAGCATTTGAAGGGACTAACTCAGCCAGTCCTTAATGATATGGCATTTTTCTGACAGATAAAATTTGTTTGTTGGATCAATTATTCTATTAACAGACGTAGAATTTAAATTCTTATATAAACTTGCTAATCTTAAATTTATGCTGATCCAGTTTAATTTGGTCTATCTTAACTTGTTTTAATATTTGTTGGGGAGAGACATCATTTGGTGTTACCTTCCAAAACTTGCAGCTGTTTAGAACCAGACACTTGAGGGAAGCGACTATGGTATAATGAATGCCTTCCTTGTTAGGTCATGGGTGACAAAGGCAAAATTCAACAAGTGCATAATCTGCAGTCCTTTGGAAACAACAACAACAAAAAAGAGCAGATTAACTCCAAATGCATTTAGGTCATCTGGAAATTGAATTCCTGTCAATCCTTATCTTTGCATAATTTATTTACTCCCCTTTTAGTTCACGCTTATGGTATTTTGAAGCTGATGAACTTACCGTGTTGTCCGGAAAGCATTAATGATTAAAATGTAGGTGTTTCTTAAAGTTAGTTGAAAGAGTTTATTATCAACCTTTCATTTCCAATTCCATCTTCTAGTTAGCTTTCCACAGAACAGGCTCCCGATCTTCTCTTTTTAAATATTCACCGTCAGAATCCTGGCACATACAGCTCCTACCCTCAGCACAATGTGGGTATAAATGTGAAACTAAGTGCTATATATATGTATTGAATTATCAGGCACGGGTTTCATTCAGCCAGCAAACATTTTTTGAGAACCTCCCTGTATGCCAGGTACTCAGCCAGGGACTGACACTCAGGCGAATTGTTCTTGCTGCAAGGACCCTTGACCTGTATTTTAGGATTCCTTTGCCATGGAGGGGGGCCATAGGTCTGCGGGGCCAGAATTGGACCAAGAGGGTGTACCATTTATGTTATGCCAGATTGGCAGAGGTCTCGTCTACAGATCTGTTTAAGGAAGATTTAGAAACTCAGGTAAAAAATAATGGGGGACACATTGTCAAAGAGTCTATAGACTCCACAGATTTGGATTGATCTAAATAAATGGAGTTGAGTGAGTGAGCACTTTTCTTTGAGGCAAGAGTAAGCCCTTAAAGCTAGAACTAGTTTGTGTAGGCAGTCTAAACTTAGAGATAGAGAGAAGGGGGACACTCCAGACATCCCACTCTCTGGCATGTATGTATATACCTTCTTTTTCTTTAGTGTCAGTACTTTTCTTTAAATTGACAAAGTTCTGAAATACGTGAGACTCTCATAGCCTTCATTTCCACTCTTTGCTTTCTTTCCCTAATATTTTGTCATGAAGAATTTCAGTCACAGAAAAGTTGCAAGAATTGTTTGTACATTGAATACCTAAATACCCACATCCTAGATTCTTTAATTCATGTTACTGTATCTACTTTTCCATCCATCCATCCATCCATCCATCCATCCATCCATCCATCCATCAATCCATCATACGCTCCCTCACTCCCTCTATCCATTTACTAATCCATCTTATATTTTTGTTGTATTTTAAAGTAAGTATAGTTCAGAATATCAAGAAATGAACACGGGTCCTTCTCTCTTCAAGCTTATAATTTAGTTTGGGTTTTAGTTAGGTGTCTAAAGAGAGATAAATAAATGTTACATGAATTCAGAGGAGGCAGTCGGGGTACTGTTAGAGAAAGCCTCATAGGTGTGGGCCTTGAATTGGTCCTTTATTTTAGGATCCAGAGAAGAGGTGTTCTTTTTAAAATCGACTTTGCAATTAGAAGTTATGGTATAAAGAAACAGTAGCAGACAAGGGTGGATGGGACCCAGTTTTGGAAGGAGTTTGAGCATTATTCTGTACCCAATGACAATTTTTGAGGAAGGAAGTAATGTGTAAAACAGATCTTTTAGTTAAATTCTTATCCTGTTTGTCATCTTTGGTATTTAGTTGTATAGAAGACCTCTTCATTTTTTGAGTTCTCTCTTCTCTTCTTTCTTTGCCTGCCTCTGATTGCTCTTGATTTCTCAGCTTTGCTGGTAACTATTTCTCTTCCAGATCCAAACTATCTAAAGCTCTGTTCTTGACTCTTTGTGCTCCTTGTAATCTTGCCCTTACCTCTATTGCTTCTTGATTAGAATTCTTTCCAGGCCATGCCTACATCTTTATCCATAAGCTGTTAACTCTTGTTGGGTTTCTAACTGCTAATAGGATACTTCTTTTTGTATATCCTTGTTTACTTTGTACTTAACTTACTGTTCAAGAATGTGTAGTAAGAACATTTGCTCTAAGTAGTTGTAGCAAATGGGATTTATTGAGAAAGGAAGATATGTAAACTTTGAGTGGGCTGAATGAACAGTTTAGAATTTATTTATTTTTCAATTATAATTGACAGTCAATATTATTTTATATTAGCTTCAGGTGTACAGCATAGTGGTTAGACATTTATATACTTTATGAAGTGATTTCCCCTGTAAATCTAGTACTCATCTCTGAGACCATCATAGTTATTGCAATATTATTGATTATATTCCCTGTGCCTTACTGGAACCATCATTATATGTTACTTTCTGCCCTCGATATTTTATGCAGGTATTTTTGCTTGTCCACACTTAGGTCATATGTGAAACCTCAGCTTCAAGAGCATCTGGAAAATGTAGTTTTTAGTTGTCCATCTTCTAAAACAGAAAGTCCACGTGACACTAGATTGGAGTATTGAGTGAGTCTTCAGTACACTCAGTTGTGACAGACTAAGCTCATTTTCCCTGGATTCCCTCATCATGACAAAGTGAAGCCTTTTCTAATGGTGCTGTTTCTCTGCAAAGACATGGGTATTGTTCTAGTTTTCTGAGATAGAAACTATAGAAATTAAGTGTACCATTTAGATTTTTTTTATGTTGTGAGTGTAATAGAAAACCAGCTCAAATTTCCTGGCTCACATACTGCACAGTCCAGAGGCGAAGCTGGAACCACTGACACCTGTGTGGTCAGAGCTTCGTCCTTTTCTTTCCTTTATTTAGTGAGCTCTGCTTCTATGATGTTGGCCTCGTTGTGGTCACCACATGTTTGTCAGCAGCGCAAGGCCCACGTCCTCGAGCCATCAAGTCCAGAGAGGAGAAGGAGCTGTAGGCCAGGGCTCCTGACCAGTGTTGCTCCCTAGACGCCTTTGGCAGTGTGAAGCCTATAGGGCCCCTTTTCTGAGTAATATTTTAAAATAAAATCCATAGGACTATAAAGAAAAACAGCTATATTAAAATACAGTTATCAAAATATTTTTTAACATTGTAAGATAATAATATGTACTTCTTTATTAAATAAGGTTTAGTGTGGGTTTAATAATTTCCAAGTAGTGATGGACATTGTCATTATTTGGAGGTGTCTACAACCAATGATCATGTGATAGGAAAATATCTGTGATTTTTACTGTTGACAAAGTGACTGATACTGCTAATATTATTGTGGTCCGTTGACTGTCTTCTCATGGAAATGTTAAGTTTTAGTTGAAGGTTAGTGAAAGTAAAGATATAATTTTTCACCCTCCTTTGAGTTTAGAGGCACCCTGAATTTTATACCTAAACCCCTTGGAGGTAGGGTACTCTGTGAGCCTCAGCTTAAGATCTACTAGAAGAGAGTTTCTCTTCCCAGAAGCCCCAGCAAATGTCTTCTTATATCTCATTGACTTTGGGTTATATTTCTGACATTTTTTAACCAACCACTAAGAATATGACATGCTAATTGTTTAGCCAGCCTGGGTCTACCCCTGGAGTTCGGGATGGGGTCATTGCTACCTAAACAGCATGATGGGCAAGGAGTGGATTCCTAAGGGAAATTTAGGGGATACTGGATGCTGAGTAAGTAGCAAATAGTAGATGTGCATTATGTCACCCCCTCTCCTTTGCTCCCATAGTTAACCAGTCATTAAATTTTTAGTGAATCTTTAACTAGGATTTCCTTATCAGTGTCTCTGCTGACATCCTAAGCCTCCGAAATGGAGTGTGTGGGATAGCCTATTGTATTGCAGAAAGAAAAATATTGGAACTCCTATT